GTGGGAAAAACAAGGTAAGAAACTGGAAACTCGTTCCTGTGTGAGCCCAGGGACAACTTACTCCTCACACTGTGGCTGCAGAACAGCTCAGTTACACTGGGCCAACACACTTTGGCCTTATGTGGGGGGAGGTGAGCCTCCTCTGACAGACCTAGCAGGAGAGAATAGATTTAAAGTTTCAGTTGATTTGGAGGCAAAAAGGTGTTGGAAAAGGTTTGAGTAAAAGGTAATGAGAATCTAAAACTGAAAATCTTGGCACTTGTTTGAGTGCACTGTGCTAAATGCTGAGGGGCAGTACATTAGGTTCATATTTCTACATTTATCCCTATGGACCATTCCAGCGTAACCACAGAAAAGTAACAGCCAGAGAGTGACAGGACGAGTAACTGAGGATTAAGAGGGGAGGGAGCCCTTCCAACTGCGCTATAGCTTCACAGAGGAAGTGCCGTCTGAGCTGAGCAAGGAAGGGCAGAGCGAGGGAGAACACCCCTGTGCGGCGAGCAGTACACTGGCCAGGGTGGCAGCATAACTGCTGTGCTAATGGATCAAAAGCCCCTGGCCACCCTCCAGAGGTGACCCACGCTTCTCTGCAGCAGCTTCACCAGCATTTCTTCATCCCCGCCCCTCAGAGGGGGAGGAGGAGAGGCTCCTACCAGCCGCCCCAGCCCCTTTGCCACTTGCCTAAAGGGTGATCACCAAAGAAACTCCTTTTTCACAGTCTGTCTTCAAGAACTATGATCATGACCAAGATGGATACATTTCTCAGGAAGAATTTGAAAAAATTGCTGCGAGTTTTCCGTTTTCCTTCTGTGTGATGGACAAAGACAGGTGAGAGTTTGTGAATGGGAATGTGGCTATGAGCCCTTTAGTAAAAGCAGTTTGTGTATCACTAAAAGAACTTCTAAACTTGGATGTGTCGCTGCTATGATTACTTAATGAATATTCGGGCTAAGAGAGCAATCATCAAATGATGCCTATCTGGCTTTGGATTGGACCATAAGTGATCATGAAGTCAGGTTAGTAATAGTCAACTATGAATTTTAAGAAGTTTAGTCTCCTTCTTGTTTTGTCCTTACAGATCATGAAAAACTAATATTTATTAATAATCAGCATATTTACTATTCACAAGGTTACATATGTTCTATCTTGGTTCTCTATATAAAACCAAATATATGGTTGGTGGGTTCAAGTTATGTATTATTACTGTCTGAAGTCAGAAACTGTAGCATAAGGTATCTCTCCCTATACACACAATTTCCATAATTTTTTAAAGTCCTGTAGATAGTGGTTAAATTAGTTGGGAAAACCTAGGTTAGCCAAAGAACAACTCCATAAAAGTGAGTAATGCTGTCTCCACTACTTATTACAAGCTATTCATGTATGATTAAAAGGACGGCTCATGGTGGTAATTACCAGGTAATACACAGTGTACTTCCACTCAAGGATGAAAAGGTGAATTTCCCCCTACCCCCCACATCCTGGTCTGTCGTTTGCTGGCAGGGAAGGCCTCATCAGCCGGGACGAGATCACGGCCTACTTCATGAGGGCCAGCTCCATCTACTCCAAGCTGGGCCTGGGCTTTCCTCACAACTTCCAAGAGACAACCTACCTGAAGCCTACTTTCTGTGACAACTGTGCTGGATTTGTAAGTTGTCCTTGGAGTGCTTCAGGGCTGAACTTGGGGAGGGGTACAAGACAGGTTAAATGACTAAGCTATGCACAGACCTCATAGCCCTTATCAGCTCATCCCAGCTTAGAGCCTAAGCAAACACCTAGAATAACCTAGTCCTCAAATGCATTTATGTGCATTCATCTTTTCCCATTCCTTCCTGATTTATTTTTCCCTCTGGTACGGGGCCTTGGATAAATAAGTATTAAATTTGGGATATATATATTTTTAAGTATTATATATTCATATGTTTCAAATGTTGTAAAAACATCCTCACCCCGCCCTACATCTGGGCTCTGCCCATCCTCTGTCCCGCCTCTGACCAAGTTTCCCCCAAACCCAGTCCCTGACCCCAGGGTTCTATAGATTTGTTAGTTTGGGATCCTGATATGATTCCACTTCTGGCCTAGAGAAGTCCTGGCTCATAAATCCTGTGAGCTTCTTGAGAACATCTGACTGATCAGCACAAACTCTCCCAGTTTTCAATTTAAGGTCAGAAGGGACAATACATAAGAGAGAAATGAGGTTTCCCTCCCTCTTGAGGTAGGAAGTAGAATGAAGGAAAATCAAGAGTGATGTCAATGCCTAGCCTCCTGCCAGATAGATGAGTGACATGTGGTGCATTCTGTCTCTTGTCTCATAGCTCTGGGGAGTGATCAAACAAGGATATCGATGTAAAGGTAAGGCTCAGCTTTGCGACTGCATTGTTTTCCCTGGTCTTAGGTATTTTCCTATAAAGACTGTTTGTTCATAGTAGTTGTCCATTCAGTCCACAACTTCTCAGCATAGCCTCATCCTCAGACTGGCTCCCCTAGAGGAGCCCTCGAGAGTGACTGCCACCATATAGAAGAGAGGGGTGCCTGGGTGACCAGTTATGCAGCTTCCCTTATAAGAGCCTCTCTCTGCCTTGGAAATACGGGTGGCTGCTAGGAGGTTATGCTCCCAGACAGCCCTGGAGAGGCAGATCCCCAGTGAAAGGCAAAGAATCACTTTTGGAACAGAAGTGATTACCAACGCCTTTGTCAGCTTTCCTCTGATGAGTAGACACCTCCCTGTGACTAGAAACATTCAGGAGTGAAGGAAAAGAGAGATTTTAATGAAAGGAAGGAAGGATAAGACCTAACAGCTGAGAGCCTCTAGAGCAGTGGTTCTCAACCTTGGCTGCACATTAGAATCACCTGGGAATCTTTTTAAAATCCTGATTTCTGGGCCTCATCCTCTGGAAAATCTGTTTCTTTGTTACTAATGTTGTGGCCCCACCACATAACAAAGAAACAGAATTTCCGGAGGATGAGGCCCAGAAATCAGGATTTTAAAAAGATTCCCAGGTGAGTCTAATGTGCAGCCAAGGTTGAGAACCACTGCTCTAGAGGGTCTCCCTAGAGTAGGCAGTATGTGAGGGATAACCAAGACACCACCTCTTCCCTCCGCGGCAACAGGTGCCGCTTCCTCACCTTGTGGTAAGGGCTACAACAGGACTGAGATCCAGGACTGACCAAGTGGGAATGCTGGGTTCACTAGGTGTCCTAGCTCCAGAAGAGAGGGCAGGCATATGTGACAAGAGGGCCCTAGAGAAGAAAGCGATGTGTGCTGAAAGACTTTCTGACTGGGGTGTCTTGTCCATAGACTGCGGGATGAACTGCCACAAACAATGCAAAGATCTGGTTGTGTTCGAGTGCAAGAAGCGAGCCAAGAACTCAGCAGCTCTCACAGACAATAGCACCGCTGTGGGGCCAACGTTCAACCTCTGCTCATTGGGAGCCAAAGACCTGCTCCATGGTAAGGAGGCATTGGGAACATCTATCTTGGAAAGTGAAATGGGAAGGATGAAGTTTTCAGGGAGGAAAGATTATCTTTATCCTTCTTTTCTTTTTGTAAATATATTTTAATTTATTTCAGAGAGGGAGAGAGATAGAAACATCACTGATTGGCTGCCTCCTGCACGCCCCACACTGGGGATCAAGTCCACAACCCTGGCATGTGCCCTGACCAGGAACCGAACCATGACCTCCTGGTTCATAGGTCGACGCTCAATCACTGAGCCATGCCATCCTTCTCTTTCTTAATAGAAACCAGCACGAATTCCATTATGGAAGACATGCCTGTATATTATGTGCCCTATATTTTAAGAGTTACATCATCTTTGGGAACAACTGCCACATAAAATGCAAATTTCATGCAGAAAATAACACAGAGGTCTGGGGTCTCAGCGTGAAGTCTGGAAAAAGGCTGTATCTTTTCATACTTACCTTACTCCTCCAAAAGAGACAGTGAAATTATTTTAGAGTAAATATAACAATTTATTCTGGTACTTGAATAACAGTGTAATTTTGAGATTTGGGTAAATATTTAATGTTAATTTAAATTATGTTCCCCTAGAGAAAAATACTAGATAGGATCCTTAAAAGTATTTCTAGTATTACAATTGTTGATTGGGATTACAAATGCTAAGTAGAAAACTCTCGTTGTCCAAAAGCCATTTTACTTTACCAATCCAATGTCTTAGCTGGAAAGTTTGCTAATAGAAAAGCATATTTTAAACTTACTGCTGAGTCTTTGCAAAGCAGTAAACATAGATGATCTGCTGCCTATCTTAAAGCCTACCCCCATCTCAAATTCATCCGCTCCTACTCTACATCTCCAGGAACTTACTTCTTTTGGTTAATACCTAGCTGGGTCCTGGATAAGGCTGTTGTTCGAAGAAGACAACCAGAATGACTCCTCTCTCCTTTTCTAATCAGTATCAAAGGGCGGCAATATATTTGCTAGAACTTCCCTATCACAGTTAAGCTGTGCCTATTGTACAAATTCACAAATAGGTGCCACAGAGAATTCCTAGCAGCTAATCAAGGCCATCTGTATCAGGACCAAAACCTGAGCGCTGACAGCTCCCAAATCCCAGGGTCTACTGAAGATATTTATGAAACATGACAGCCCTGAGGCAGGGGCTTCAATTTTCCCTCTAGCAACCTTTGTGCAAATAGAAAAAGATGCCCCTTCCTCAGGGTGAATGCAGCCTGATACCAGCAGCCACAGCTTGGCCAGCAAAGTCCCTGAGTTTCAGTCCCCTTCACCCCCCAAATTGGGTGCCTAAAAATGAGCCCATTTGGGGCCTATGGGTGTTTCTGAAACTAATGTATCAATCTGAGTCTCTGCTTTTCTGAACTAGAGCACCAACATGTCTCGTGTCTTCCTACAGCACCTGAGGATGGACCTTTTCCATTCCCTAATGGGGAGGCTGTGGAACAAAGTGAAGAAAGTAAAGATCGGACCATCATGCTCATGGGAGTGTCCTCACAGAAGATTTCTGTTCGGCTGAAGAGGACTGTCGCCCACAAGGCCACCCAGACCGAAGCACTGCATTGGATGGGCAGCGAGGGCCCTTCTGGTCCTTTTGCGCTATCTTCCCCAAGGAAGACAGCCCAGGACACTCTGTACGTGCTTCCTAGTCCTACGTCTCCATGCCCCAGCCCAGTCTTGGTCAGAAAGCGGGCTTTTGTAAAGTGGGAGAATAAAGACTCCTTCATGAAATCAAAGGAGGAACTCCGCCACCTCAGACTCCCAACTTACCAAGAGCTGGAACAGGTACCTTTTTCTTTGTTTTCAGACTCTGAGAGAAATGGGGCTAAACCAGGGAAGGGAGCATAAACTGAAGATTCAGTCCAGGTTGATTACTAGCAGATTAAAACAAGTAAAGAGATCCTGGCTTTCTCTCAAAGAAACGAGTGGGGGCACTGACTCACATTACATGACTACAACAGGATATATACAGGGCTCCCTATTGCCATAGACATGCCAGGGCCCAAACTGTTCACAGGAGGCTCCAAAACAACTCCTACTGACCAGTTTTACAATGCTGACCCCACACCCCTTTTCTAGATGGGACTTAAAGTGAACTTGCCTAAATCCTTCTTCCTTATAATTTTTACTCTATTCATCAGTGTTATGTTTGGGGACCTTCATGGTTGCCTAGGCATCTTCCTAAAAGAAGGTAGGTGATCAGTGTGCTACCAAAAAAAAAAAGTGTATTATAATTCACCAACTGAAAGACCTCCCTCTTAATGTAAATGAGGGAGATCATTTCTAACACATCAGGTAATGTGCTGAAGAGCTAAATCAATAGTAGTTGGCAAATGCATAGCTGAATATAATATACAGCAATATAATCTATAAAATGGTAAAAATTGTGCTACTGGAAGCTTCTTTTTTCTGTTAGGCTCACAATGTCTAATAAGGTACCTAATGGTGGCAAAAGGAGTTTGGGAATATGGTGCCAAAGATTTGAGAGAAGGGAATAAGGAGGTTAAAAAATAAAAAGGAAAGTAGGTGCCCTAACCGGTTTGGCTCAGTGGGTAGAGTGTCGGCCTGCAGACTGAAAGGTCCCGGGTTCGATTCCGGTCAAGGGCATGTACCTTGGTTGCGGGCACATTCCCGGTAGGGGAGTGTGCAGAAGGCAGCTGATCGATGTTCTCTCCCATCGAAGTTTCTAACTCTCTATCCCTCTCCCTTCCTCTCTGTAAAAAAAATCAATAAAATATATATTTTTTTTAAAAAAAAGGAAAGTAGGAGATAGAACAGGTAGTTTCCAAATACTCTTCTCTGTAGGGTCAATTACTAGCATACTTCTTTTTGTTCAGCATGCAAAGCTCACAGTGAGCTGGCTTACACAGACCTCTTGTTTATAGATCTAGTTTCTTACCAATGGCAGTTAAGTCAAGTCATTTTAGAGATCATTCACTTTATTACAGGGGAGGAATGCCTATCTGCCCTTTCCCCACCCCCCCCACCACCCCCGCCCCACAAGCATCAAGGTTGGCAATGTGTTTTTGGAGGTCTATCATTACAATAAAAAGCCAACATTCACCTAGATAGAATTCCTTACATAAGTCTATATAATACATAGTGAAGCTGTGTAAGATGGCCTCAGGATTCCCACCTTGTTCTCAGTGTTGTACCTTTCCTGTCAAACTCCAGGAACTGACTTAGAGGCACATTTAAAGAAACAAGTTAGCTGGCATGGCTCAGTGAACCAGGAGGTCACAGTTCGATTCCTGGTCAGGGCATATGCCCGGGTTGTGGGCTATCCCCAGTAGGGGGCATGCAGGAAGCAGCCAATCGATGATCCTCTCTAAAATCAACAAAAAATATTTTTTTAAAAAGGGAAGTAAGTTACATACATAATAAGAAGAAAATCTTGGTTTGGTGTCTTGAACAAAAAGATATAACATTAGGCCCTAACCGGTTTGGCTCAATGGATAGAGCGTCGGCCTGCGGACTCAAGGGTCCCAGGTTCAATTCCGGTCAAGGGCATGTACCTTGGTTGCGGGCACATACCAAGTGGGGAGTGTGCAGGAGGCAGCTGATCAATGTTTCTCTCTCATTGATGTTTCTAACTCTCTATCCCTCTCCCTTCCTCTCTGTGAAAAAATCAATAAAATATATTAAAAACAAAAAGATATAACATTAGGAGAAACATGAAAAAAAGAACAGATTTTCTGGATGAAAGGTACTCTCTTACTCAGAGTATTTTTAACACATGCTTTAAGTCAATCAAAAGGTGAAAGAAATCTTGAAAAGCGAACCCAATAAAAGAGAAAGAACTTTACAAAGATTTGTGTTTCTAGTCCCCAGAAACACAACTACCCATTAAACTCTTTGACCTGTTTAGTCCTCTGTAAAATACAGGGCCAGGATTCCATATGCTCTCTTTACGGTTTGCTTCAGGTCTTGACATTTTACATGTCCATGAAAAGGAACAATGTAGATGGCAACAATGACTTCCTGATGCAAGAAATGGGTGGTAGAGAGATTTCAGATGAGGTAGGTCCAGAATAATTCCTACCCACTAATACCAGAACTCACAAACCAAACCCTCGTACTGTTTCCCTCTCTTTACATTTATTCTTGTCATAGTGACCTAGGGACAAGAATTCACAATTATGTTTAAAAAACACACACACACAATGAGTCCCACTTTCCATTAAGTAAAATCCTTACATGATTTGTCTACCTGCAATTCAACAGCCCCATCCACTGCTCACCGTAAATTCTAAAAAGAAGTACATTGTTAGTATTGACCCTATAGAATATTTAGACAACTGCTATTGGCCCAGTTGTCCCATAACCTACTTTCCTACACTACTCTAGCAATAAACAGTTAGAATTAGAAAAACTATAGCTATCTATTAGAAAGGGGTGTTAACTGCTTATGGTAGTAGTAGAGGCCCGATGCACAAAATTCGTGCAAGGGGCTCAGCCCTCGCAGACCCAGCTTAGTCCAGAAGGTCGTTTGGCTGTCTGGTCTAATTAGCATATTACACTTTTATTATTATAGATAAAGACTTAAGGAGTATTAAAAAGAACTATTACCTAATTTCATTTCTCAATGAATTCAAAGCATAAAGAGGTCAATTGTGATATCAAAAATATAAAAGGGGAGAAGTAAAGGAGTAGAAACTTTATAGACAAATGAAGATAAAGGTGCTACCAGCATAAAAGGACTATTTTATCTATGATATGTTTTTTATAAGCCACATGGTATCCACAAAGCAAAAATCTAAAGTAGAGTTATGAAACACAAAGAGGGGAGACTAAGCAAATTACCATAGAAAATTACCACTTTACAAAGGTAAACTGAGAGAAAAAGAAACAATGGAGATACACAACAACCAGATGGCAATAGTAAGTTCTTATACATCAATAATCACTCTAAATATAAATAAAGTTTACCAATCAAAAGGCCATATGGATTTAAAAAGAGACCCAATTATGTGCTACCTATAGCAAACTCATTTTAGCTCTAAAGACACAGGCTCAAAATGGATAGAAAAGGAATATTCCACGTGAATAGAAACTAAAACAAGGTGGCCATAGCCACACAAGACAAATGTACAATTGTAAATATATATATATGCAGCCATCATTGGAGCACTGAAATATATGTATTAAGCAAATACTAACAGATCTAAAGGGAGAAATAGACCACACAGTAATAGTAGGGGACTTCAACACCCTACTGTTATCAAAGGATAGATCATCCAGAAAGAAAATTAACAAGGAAATTTTAGAATTGAACCACACTCTAGAACAAATCAACTTAACAGACATACATGGAAAATTCTCTCAAACAGCAGCAGCAGAATATAAATCTTCCAGGATAGATCATATGATAGGGCACAAACAAATCACAGCAAATTTAAAGACTGAAATCATACCAACTATATTTTCAGACCACAATGGTATGAAACTAAAAATTAACAAGAGGGAAACTGAACAACCATTGAGTCAAAGAAATCAAATGGGAAATAAAAAATTACCTCTACACAAATGGAAATACAACATATCAAAACTTACAGTATGCACCAAATGCATATCTTAAAAAATCTCAAATAAACAACCTAACTTTACATCTCTTGGGACTTAAAAAAAACAAATTAAACCCAAAGTTAGAAGAAGGAAGAAAATTATTAAGATCAGAACAAAAATAAGTGAAATAGAGACAAGTAAAAATAGAAAGGCTCGACGAAACTAAAAGCTGATTCTTTGAAAGGATAAAATTAGAAATGCAAAATGTGGTATTACAACTGTTACTACACAAATACATGACACCACAAGAAACTATTATAAACAATTATATGCCAATAAATTAAATAACCTAAAATAAATGGATACATTTCTAGAAACACACAATATACCCAGACAGAAGTAGAAATCTGAACAGACTAATAATGAACAAAGAGACTGAATAGTAATGAACCTCCCAATACAAAAAAAAATCCCAGGATAATGAAATGGCTTCACTAGCAAATTCTACTCAAAGAAGAATTAACACCAATCCTTCTCAAACTCTTTCAAAAAACTGAGGAGGAGGGAATACTTCCAAACTCATTCTACAAGGGCACCATTACCCTGTTACCAAAGAGAGATAAGGGCACCACAAGAAAAATACAGACCAATATCACTGATAAATATAGATACAAAAATTATCAACAAAATATTAGCAAACCAAATTCAAGAATACACAGAAAGGATTATATACCAGGGCTAAGTGGGATTTACCCTTGGATGCAAGGATGGCTCAACATATGCCCACTCTTATTCAGTACAGTACTGAAAGTCTTAGCTAGAGTGATTGAACTAGAAAAAGAAATAAAAGTCATCCAAAATAGGATTGTCTGCAGATATTATGAGTCTGTACTGGTATGTAGAAAATCCAAAGACTCAACCAGAAAACTGTTGGAACTAATCAACAATTTCAGTAAAATTGCAGGATACAGCAATCAGTTAAATTTCTACTAATATACATCTAAAAAATCCATTCACAATAGCATCAAAAACAATAAAATACTTGGACTACATTTAACCCAGGAAGTGAAAGATCTATACAATGAAAACTACAAGACTTTGCTAAAACTGAAGAAGACATAAATGGAAAGAAACCTGTGTTCATGGATTAGAAGAATTAATATTGTTAAAATATTCACACTGTCCAAAGCAATCTATAGATTCAATGTAATCCCCATCAAAATACCAATGGCATTCTTTAAGAAATGGAAAAATAATCCTAAAAATGGTATGGAACCACAAAAGACCTCAAATAACCAAAGCAATCCCTATTTTAAAAAATTGTTGGAGGTACCACACTCCCTGATTTCAAACTTCACCATAGGGCTACAATAATAAAAACAGTATGGTACTGGCACCAAAATAAACATGTAGACCAATGTAACAGAAACGAGAGCTCAGAATGAAACTCCTGCTTGTACAGGTCAGCTAATATTCAATGCGTGAGCCAAGAGCACCCAGTGGGGAAAATAAAGTCTCTTCAACAAATGGTTTTGGAAAAACACATACAGTGCAATGAAACTGGGAATCTTACACTACTCACAAAAAATAACTCAAAACGGATCAAAGACTTAAACGTAAAACTTGATATTATAGAACTCTTGAAAGAAAACATAGTTCGGAAGAAGTTCCTTGATATTAGTCTTGACAATGATTTTTTTGGATATGACACCAAAAGCAAAAATAAAAGTAAAAATCAACAAATAAAACCACATTTAAACATAAACGCTTTCCCAAAAGAAACAACAAAATGATAAAGAATGAGAGAACATTTTTGCAAACTATATATCAAATAAGGGATTAATGTCCAAAATATGTATTTTAAAAGACTCAAACAATAACAAAAAAATCCAATTAAAAAATGGGCAGCCCTGGCCTGGTGACTCAGTTGGTTGGAGCATCGTCCCATAAACCAAAAGGTTTTGGTTCGATTTCTGTCAGGGCTCATACCCAGGTTGCAGGTTCAATCCCCAGTCAGGAGCATACTGGGGGCAACTAATTGGTTTCTCTCTCACATCGATGTTTCTCTTCCTCTCCCTTCCTCTCTTTCTACAATCAGTAAACATATCCTGGGGGAAGGATTAAAAAAATTGGTCAGAAGAACTAAAAATATTTTCCAAAGAAGATATACAGATGGCCATCAGGTACATAAAAATGTGCTCATCATCACTAATCATCAGGGAAATGCCTATCAAAACTACAATGAGTGCTGGCCAATTTGGCTCAATGACTAGAGCATCAGCCTGCAGACTGAAGAATCCCGGGTTCGACTCTGATCAAGGGCACATGCCCAGGTTGTGGGCTCCATCTGGGCCTGGGCCCTGGTCGGGGTGTGTGCAGGAGGCAACCAATCAATGTGTCTCTCTCACATCGATGTTTCTCTCTCTATGTCTCTCCCTCTCCCTTCCACTCTCTCTAAAAAAATCAATGGAAAAATATCCTCGGATGAAGATTTTAAAAAAAACACAAAAAACTACAATGAAATATCACCTCACACCTGTTAGAACAGCTATCATCGGATCCCACTTCTAGGAATTAATCCTAAGAAGCCAGAAACACTAATCATAATCAGAAAGAAAATATGCACCCCTATGTTTATAGCAGCATTATTTACAATAGCTAAGATCTGGAAACAGCCCAAGTGCCCATCAGTAAATGAATGATTAAAAAACTGTGATACATTTACACATGGAATACTATGCAGCTGTAAAAAAGAAGGCTCTCTTACCCTTTGAGACAGCATGGAGGGACCTGGAGAGTATTATGCCAAGTGAAATAAGCCAGAAAGAGAAAGACAAGTATCACATGATCTCATTTATATTTGGAATCTAACGAACAAAATAAACTGATGAACAAAAAAAGATCCAAAGACACTGAAGCATGCAACAGACTGACGTATTTTAGGAGGTTGGGGGGAGCAGGAAGTGATTAATCAATGAATTTATATGCATAGACCATGAACAGACAATAGTGCAGAGAAGGCCTGGAAGGGGAAGGGAGTAGGATGGAGGGAAAAAAGAGATACCTGTTAAACTTTCAACAATAAAGATAAATGTTAAAAAAGACAAGCAATGAGTACTGACAAGGACATGGTGAAAAGGGAACCCTTGTGCACTGTTGTGGGAATGTTCATTGGTACAGCCACTGTGGAAAACAATATGGAGGTCCCTCAAAAAATTAAAAATAGAACTATCACATGATCTAGCAATTCCACTTCTGAGTAATTATCAGAAGAAAACACTAACTCAAAAACATAAATACACCACCTGTTCACTGCAGAATTACTTACAATAGCCAAGATACGCAACAACCTAAGTGTCCATAGACAGATGAATGGTTAAAGAAAATGTGGTACATGTATACAATTGAATATTATTCAACCATAAAAAAAATTAAATCTTCCTGTTTATGACAAATGGATGAACCTTGAGCACATTAAGATAAGTCAGACAGAGAAAAACAAGTACTATACTGAATCACTTCTATGTAGAATTTTAAAAAGCAAACTTATAAAAGCAGAGAATAAAATGGTGGTTACCAGGCAATGGGGGTGGGAGGAGAGGACAGATGTTGAGGGTACAAATTTACAACAAGTGATAAATTAGCCCTAGAGATATAATGCACAGTATAGAGATTATAGACAATAATATTGTATCATCAAACTTGCTAAGAAGACTAGAATTATTCCAACTTCTAAAAAGAATTATGTAACATGATGGAGGTGTTAATTATAGCGACCTTGGCAATCATATTACAATACATAATTATCAAATTAACAGGTTGTACACCTTAAATTTATATAATGTTATGTGCCAAATATATTTCAATTTAAAAAAAACTTCAAGACTGGAAACCAACTGCTGTCCATATAATTAAATGACTGAAAATTAGGTAACTGGATTCCAGTTTAGAGGCTGGGATAAAATTCCTATCTTTGCCAAGAGTTCACTAGTTTTCAATGATTTGGGGGTAAAAACACTTGAAGAAAAATGAACTATGATATATCATATTACAGTATTCCGAATCACTGCTTTCAAACCTCAAACCTGACCAGAGACTCTGTTTCTGCCAAGTTTAAGTCTCCTGCTACACAACTTCCATAGGTTGTGTCATTATCCACCTATTGCCCGGGAATGGTTTATTCTGCCTGTTAGCCACTCACATCTTTGATATGATTAACAAAAACTAATTGCTGTTTGCACATGTTCATTTGTTATTTAACTTATTAGTTTATATTAAGGGTAAAATAACTGTCTTGAAAAAATTTTTTTAATACTCAGCCACAATGAATGGGAGATGCCAATCAAGTGTAGTACTTCCGATATTGTAACTGATTTACTATTCATTGCTGCTTTATTAACATACCTTATTCTCCTTTCTCTTTAGGAAATAAATACACTGAAAGCAGATAATGATGCTCTAAAGATCCAACTGAGATATGCACAGAAGAAAATAGAAAGCCTCCAACTTGCAAAAAGCAATCATGTCTTAGCTCAGATGGAACAGGGTGACAGTTCTTAGCCCAGAAACTCAAGGAGCACAATCTGTAGATAAATGGATCAGAGATCTCATTTCCCAAACCAGTTAACACAAAGATTGGGGAAGCTTAGAGTGACCAGCTTTAAAGGGGGTACTTTAAAAAGGAAAAGCTAGTCTCTCCCCCCACCACACCCCCCGGCAATGTGTGATACTGTTTTCTCTTCCAGTCAGTTGAATCAAAGGGGAGGAAAACTGAAAAATGCAAAATTTTTGCCATTCATACCACTAACATTTTCCCCTGAGACTAAGGGCAAAAGTATGAAAAAACATGACTATAGTTTCCTGACAAGGTAGCCTCTCCTATGTGGCCTGCCTGGCTGCTTCTTCCTCAGAACTAAAATCTCTGGAAAATGAATTTGCTTCCTTCCCTGGGGTTTTCTGTAAACTGGGGAATTTACTTTGTTCCACTCAAAGCTTATTTATAATTTTAAAGTAGATTCACTTCCTCTACATTCCAGCATTCTTTATGAATCTGGTTCCCGATTCACTACCTCAAATCTAATCAATTAGCCCCTCCCACCCCCATCCTTCCTCACCGTGCTCATCATATACACAAGGATATCTACCTAGAGCTGAACTTCTAGAATGTAAGTACAAATTGTGGAGGCCTATTCAGCAACATGACATTATCCAGTTGTATATCAACTAATAGTTTTAGTCACAAAGTCATAATAAAATAAGTAATCAAATTAAATACCTGAAAACATGACTATTACCATTTTATACATGACTAATTAGCTAAAATAAACGTAATGCAAACATGTCTGTCCTCTACAGTGGATAGAATTAGGACTTTATGGCTATTTTTTTTAAAAACAGAGTCTGCTTAGCTCTTCATGTGCCATCTTTACCCTTTTTTAAGTAACTTTTTGAGCTGAAGTTGTGCTTACCAGTATACTGCCTTCACTATTAATACCATTTAGAAATAAGCTAATTGGATCAGAGCCTTCAATAACAGCTGACAGCGTGTATATATGTGTATATATTATGTATATACAGTATCAGGCGTGCATGTGACTTGGAATTTTGTTTCCCCCTTCATAAAATGTGGAAGTGAATTAAACAACTTTTAGTCATTTACATAAATTCACAAATATAAGTTCAGTTTGTTATAAGATGAAGAATTTACTCACAATGTAAATTGTATTGTTTGTAACCTCACAAGTAAGAGCCCTGTGAGTTATCTATTAATGAAAGTTAATGATAAATGGGCTCATTTAGTTGTCTGGGCAACTGATCACAAACTCCTCTGTTAGACTATTTCTCTAAAAAAGTCCAATGATCATTTTCTTTTCTTTTTTTGGGGGGTGGGGGGGGGGCGACTTACCTTCCATGCTTAGAAAGCCTGGTACAAAACTGATTTGAAATTCATAAACAAGTTGAACAACATGCCAAGAATATAATCCCAGCCTTGAGAAGTTCCAAACCTAAAGCCAACAACACCAAGTCTTAGAGTACAAAGTACATATACATAGTATAGCTTCCTTGGAGGATTCAGACCATTTAAGAAGTTAATTTGATGACAGACTAGTTCCTATCTGCATACCTCCTTATACTGAGCTTTAGTGACAAAGCTAGTGACTAGTTTTCCTTTGTGTTTTAAAAAATCACTTTACACACAGACTTAAATCTCACCACCTAATATGTGAACTTATAGAAGCTACTCTACTATGCCACTTACATTATATGGAACATGAGTTTATGATCATCTTTAAAATTCATATTCTTCACTATTATCCTTTTCCTCTGATATAAACCAAAAATAGTACAGCTCAATTTTCTTTACACATAGCCACATAACAATAATTTTTTCATTTTTCTTCCCCTCCACCCAAAATACAGATTCCAGGTTAGTTTCTATGTAAATAATCTGTAATCTATAGGAATTCAAAAGGTCAGTCCTCTTAGTTAGTCAAATTAACATGGCTAAAGAATCTTACCCCTGAATGGATAGGAAGCAGTAATTTCATCACAGGTTTTTACAGCCCACCTAGGGCCAAAGAAGTAGTGTGTAAATTAGTATTATTTGTGTGGAATCTACAGAAATAATCTGGAATAGACTTTTATTGTTAAGCCTAGAATACAAATTTCTGTGTCTTGTACTGACTTGAATAAGTTTGGGCATATATTTATCTGCCAAAACAACGACAAGTTTTGTTTTGTTAACAGCAATGTCACTTCTCATTCTCTTTGGTAATTGACTTGACTTTTTACTGGTTGTGAATTTCTGTCTAAAGATGTATTATGTAAAAGAACTACAAGGAAAAAACAAATGTACAGATTGTAAAGTTTTTTATATCTATTGTAAGTTTTCTTTGTGTAATATTTATATGATAAAAGACATTAGGATCCCTATAGCATCGATGTCTTGTATTTCTTCTAGTTCATGAATATGTAGACGCTTCACCTGAATTTTTATTATAATCCACAGCTGAGACTACTCCCCTATTGTATTAACCAAACAGTTCTGGAAGAAAAAGCAAAGCAACTAACTAGTTAGTAAAATTTTTTCTAAATCTTTTTATAACACAAAGAAGTAACAGTACAGAAATATTCAACCTTTTCCCATCTTACTGCATTATGACTTACAGTGATCCCTAAATATTAAGTCTATAAACACTTAACACTGAGGAGACAGATCTGAGGCTGTCATTTCTCTGTGGCTTTGGTCTTTAATTCCACAGTTCTATCCAAGAAAACTGGCAAGTAGAGAAACTTTGAAGCTGTGGGTGAAATTGGTAGAGAATGATGGTTCAATCTAGTATACAGACCACCCAGAGCAATTCATTTGTGCTCATGATTAGTGAATAGAGACCCAGTGCACAAATTCGTGCACTGGGTGCAAGGGGTGGGGTCCCTTGGCCTGGCGATCGAGGCCTATCAGGAGGGCTGGCCGGCCAGGGGGAGGGGCTGCGGGAGGTTGGCCAGCTGTGGGGAGGGGCCATGGGAGGTTGGCTGACAGCACCCCCCATAGGATCCGATTGGTGGGGGGACGGGTGGGGGCCATAGGAGGTTGGCTGGCTGGCCGGGGGAAGGGGCCACGGAAGGTTGGCTGTGAGAGTGCACTGACCATTAGGGGGCAGCTCCTGCATTGAGCATCTGCCCCCTGGCAGTCAGTGCATGTCATAGCGACTGGTCGACCAGTTGTCTGGTCGTTTGGTTGTAATGGTCGTTTAGGCTTTTATATATATAGATATATATATAGATGAGAGAGAGCTGTGATTTCCCTAATCCCCAGCCAACTTCTGTGTAACCAGACCAACGAAAAAGGAAGAAAAATTCCAATCACTGAAATCCCAATACAGAATGCATTCTGATACACTTGCATGTGGGTGTAGTCATCATTTTGGCAATTTTCATTATATTATATACAAAATAATGAAGTCACTCTGACAACCTAAACCTAAAGAAGAGATTAAATTTCCTCTCCTCCAGCCCCAATTCCCATCCCAAATCTCTATCTTGTGCTCCTTACACGATATAGATAGTATCATTGCTTAGAACATTCTCTGGTCACAGATCTTTTATGGATTTTCAAACCTTCTTTTGATACAAATACAGGCAACTAAATGTTTTTGGTTTAAAATGTTTTGCGGTTTTTTTCTGTTGTGAGTAAGGTTTCCCTGATCTGCAGAACACAAGGGAATAGGTTCAAAGAAAACACATGACCCCCTCTTTTGCTGAGAGCTGACATTAATGTGTGGTGGTTATGTATGGGCAGGACTTATGTTATTTATACTAGTACAGTCCAAATGTGAGCGTAGTTACCTTCTTTAACCCAGAAACTCCCAGTAATGACATATCTATAGATGCTATTTAGATACCAAAGGCTAGACCAATGCAAGAAAAATTAAAAGGGGGAGGGAAAACCAGGTAATATGAAAATGAGAACCAGGCAAAAAGAAATGAAGCAGCACACAAAAAAGGTATTGAACTTTAGGAAGCAGTTAAGTACCATTCATCATACTCTACATTTGTATTACACTCAATTTATAAAACATTTTCACATTATGGCCTTTCAATAAGGCCCCAGCTGGCCTTATTGCTATTTTATTTTATTATTTTTTAAAATATATTTTTATTGATTCAGAGAGGAAGGGAGAGGGAGAGCTAGAAATATCAATGATGAGAGAGAATCATTGCTCAGCTGCCTCCTGCATGCCCCACACTGGGACTACAGCCCGCAATCTGGGCACATGCCCTGACCAGAAATCAAACCATAACCTCCTGGTTCATCAGTCGATGCTCAACCACTGAACCACGCCAGCTGGGCACCTTAGTACTATTTTAGATACTGCTTAGCACACTCTTCTACAAATGAAATTTTTACTGAACAAAGATTATCATTAAAATCTTAGCTCAGAAGAAAGAATAAGATATTTGAGTCTAGACCACTCAGCTTTTATTCAAGTGAAGTTTTATAGGAATGTGTAAATGTGTTGCTCCAGCTCTGACATGATTGCAGGAGCAAGTGCTGAACCTGTGTAAAATTTACAGTGAGTCCTGTGGATAATCCAACAGCACTCCTATGAAGGTACAAAGAAATCTTACAGAAATTGATGAACTACTGTTTCTGTCATTATTCATAAACCTTTAGTGATAATAGCTGAAGGTAGTTATAAGCCCCTTCTACGTCAGCAACTAAAGCTTCCGAAAAGAAATAAAGCAGAAATGTTAGTTTTAAATGAACGTTTTAACTAGCAACTCTCTTGAAATACTTTACTCCAGTGGTCTCTGCTTATATATTTTTAAAAATTATTTTTCAGAGTTCATAGCTACTGATAAAAATGTTTTCTTAATTATGAAAAACATTCTTCTCCAACAATCACAAATAAAATTAAGTCTTTTCATTAAATATAAGCACATTAAAAAATAATCTAAGTTCACAAATAATCAAAAACATTTGTTTTCCTATACTTAACAAATTTCTTTGAAGGGTTATCTTGAAAAACACATGGCCAAGACTCACACAATGTTTACTTTTAAAGTTTTAACATTATTTTAGGTTTCACCACAGGGTTTACTATAAAACAACAAGAACTGCCAAATACCAATATCCACTGGTACTCAGCATTCTATCTATTGAGGTGGTTAGAGCATAGAAAGTTGTTATGCACAGGTGTTGAACAGAAGCCTACATCGGGACACAGGCTTTACAGTGGGAATTTAAAAAATCTGTATGGCTATCACTTTTTCTCTCTCTCTACATTAAGAGAAAAATGCATAACTTGGCCCACTTCTTAAACCATTCACAATAGGTGCACTATAAATTCCCAACAAATTTCACTTGTACTTAGGTCTATATGAAACAACCTGGGTAGGGCTCAAGCATCACATACATTCCTCATCTGACAAATGAGGACAAATCAATCCTTGAGATCTTTGATCATTTTAGCCCATAGCACCCCTCAGCTAGCGCCATAATTCAAATTCACAACTCCTGGTCACCAAGCCTTTGACTGCTCCAACCACATATAATGCTTCTCTAACACTGTATTTTCCAAATCTAACTGAATCAGAACTACCAAGGGATGTCTTGGCCTACCTCTGATTTATTAAAACTGGAAAGTGCTGCTCTAATCCTATGTAATACAGTTCAGCCTGCCATTTAACATTCTAATATCTAAAATGATGGCCCAAAGGATGAAGAAACAATTTATAAGAATATTTTTTTAGACCATCATGTAAAACTGGTTCATGTCTTTGTCCCTTTAGAGTAATTCTGACCTCAATCAAACTTTGCTTTGTCAAACAAAATCACAAATTTCAAATCCAGTTGGAAAATAAATCAAATATGCACACCAAAAAGTAGACTCAGGCTTCAATTAGTGGAATTTTAACAGAAACCTGGGCAGAGGAATTACTTCCTATAAAAGAAAAAACAAGCCATGACAACTATCTATTGAACAAAACTATCAGTCCCTTTCCCTATTTTATAAAGTAAAATTAATAAATATAAAACACAGGAATACAGATGAGGCAACAGTCTAATAACAAGTGGGGTCTGTTTTATGAGTGTCAAACCTGAATAAAATACAGGTAACAATCTAAATTCAATCATGACAATAAAATACTTTCCATTTTTCCAAGTCTGATGGTAATATTTACAATTTTAAAAATAGCCTTTGCTCATTTTTTTTGTTTTTTAAAAAGACATAACATGCTCAAGGGTACACAGATATGAAAAAAAATTCATCACTCTGTCCAAGAGATCATACAGTATAAAACAATGCTCTTACATATTAACCCAATTCAAGAATGATATCAAGGAATCTAACAGTGTTTACTTCATAGATGACATTCAAATGTGTTATTTAGAACACTATACCTAATGTAGCTATCAAAAAGTAAGCACTGCTAATTTTTGTACCTTTCAATATCTTCTATATCCGCCACCACCACCTCCTCCATATGGATCTCCATAACCTCTTCCACCATAGCCTCCTCTCCCACCATAGCCCCCTCTCCCACCATAGTCTCCCCTCCCACCATAATCTCCCCTGCCTTGGAAACCTCCTCCTCTACCACCCCCT